AGTTTGACAGTAATCAATTGGTTAGATTCCGACATATTTTGCACACCGTTTCTAAAAACCTAATTTCGAGAAAAACGCGTTTAAAGTTTCAGAACGTCATTTTTCATATGTATCCTTTATTTACTTTTTCTATTTATATATCGCAGCTCGCAGTTCTTACAATTCACAATTAAATTGAATCCAAGTTCCTTAATATTCGATTCACCAAATGTAACATTTGAATCACACGATTTACACTTTATAATACTGCTTAAAGTTGTAAACAGTGATACAAATTCAATTATTCTGTATCCGCGGATTTATTATTATATCCCAAAATAAGTCATTTTAAAGGCTAGGACCGTTTGTATCTTATTTCTACGACTTCAAACTACCATTTAAAACAAAACAAAAGAAAAAAATCGATTTTTTGAAAATTTCAAACTGTCCTGACCCCTTAAAGCGAGCTTTGATTAGTTACTATAATATTTTCATTCACTAATCAGTGGCCAATAACTCAATAATTAATAATCAGGATTTCGCAATAATTATTAATCAAAATAATAATGCTTTCGTTCAGCTCTGAATAATTTTTTACATTCCTGACAATAAATAGATCTTACAAAAGATGGTAGAGAAGACACCCTGAAAATGGATACCGAATATTCGTAAAAAAAATTTGCAAATCGAATGCAAAACGCCGCGGTGGTTCAGAAATATCGGTTCTCGGTGATTTCGAGCTTGGGAAATGTCGAGCGATTGTCTAGCGCGATTATTTCCCTTCCCGATTCGACGTTTCCACGGCTGAAACGGATATACAGGATGGTCCCTGAAAAACTGAACGATAACAACGACAAAACGAAAATAACTTTTACAAACACATGTTTTTCCAATTTTTTATTATTTTATTTGGAAATATAATTAACAGATTTTTTTCTCAGTATTGCGTGTTTATAAATTAAAATTTTTCTTTTTCTATGAATTTTTCAAAACCTTCTGTTTTTCAGTGGCCACCCTATATAAGACTATCAGGGAGAGCCGTTTATCGCGAGATTTAATACGCGGGTTTAAACACTGCGAGCATTTTTTCGGTGCGTCGCTTTTGTTCGAGAAAGAGAGACGGCGTCGTCCGTTCGTTTCAATCACCAACGCGAATCCTGAGACTTGGTAGTCAAAAGCAAATCAAGACCGAAACACGCCAAAGTTGAAATTGTTGATTTTGATGAAATTTGGCAATTATTCACTACGACATGATTGACAATACAATATTCTACATACCATGACAGTTTATAGCATTTTCGAGAAGAAAAACATCTTGATTTTGAAACATCTGCTACATAATGAAAAAATAGTTGCAAACTATAAAATAAGCTCGAGGTTAATATTGAGCGATTTTTTTTTTTAATTGTGACAATTTTAGTATTATGTTATAAATGAATGTTAATGAAAGCAACTCTGTGTTTCGAAGACATCCAACATTCGTCTTTTGGTTTTTGATCGATTTGGATTTTGATACAGCTGAGAAACTATTATTTGAACATTTTAAATATATGCTTTAGATATATTTAGATTATTTTTGTGCATAATATATTCTATTTTTGTTAATATTATTTGTACTCTGCAGATTTTTTTTTTCAATTTTTATGAAATATTACAACTATCTTGTTCTTTCGAACTTTCATGAACATACAAAATTATTTGTATACAGTATATATAAACGACTTTTTGCGATACAAGATTGAAAGTTCGAATATTAACAGGAATCGTTGCAGATGTAAATTAAATTAATGAAATTAATGTACTGCCGCCATTCACACAAGAGCTGTAAAAATTACTATTAAATCTATCTGCTACTAACAAGGGAACATAACGAAGTCTGAATCGTTGATTTTGAAAATTTGCATGAATGTAGTTTTCAAAAAAATATTCGACCCTATATATTATTTCTTTTCATTGGCAATGGTCGATGTTGAAGGGATGAAAACCAGCCTCAGAGTTGGGGTTGCGAAACATTTTGTCGAATATCTCGAAAATTATTAAAGATACCGTTTTTCATATAAATTGGTGAAATTAGTGTCTTTTAACAACAAATTTAATGGTGTATATCGTTTTGCAGAGAATTTGTTTAAACAATAGATTTAAAAAACTGTATTTTTGATAAGTTTTTCCAAGTAAGTATTAATAAGTTTTCTTGAATATTTGTTTATAAACACCATATATTTATACTATAAAAATTACGAATAAAGTCTTGATTTTTGCATTACAAAAAAATTCATTATTTTCAAATATATTATATACACATATATATATATATATATATATATATATATTTCTCGCTGGGCGTGCAAAGCACGGTGTATATTGTAATTGTTCTCTGCTCGTAAATATGTTTTAAAATGTTAAATGATAATAATTAAATATCAATAAATATTACATGTATAAAAAAAACATCAGTTTCGTATCAGCTCGTTAATTAACTCTTTGAATTATAGCATCGAGTCGTATTTGCGGAAGCAAAATGTAGCCTTCTGAAATATAAATTTAAACTTTCAATTTTAATTCTTCAAACTGAAGATTAACAAACACAAATTATATATAATGTTTTTAATGCACGTAATATGTTACAACAACTGATGTTCATTAAAAATTAAGAAAAAAAATCGTAAGACCTTTTCTTTAATGTTGCGAGAATTAAATTTTCATGTAATATTTTACAACAAATTAAGAACAGAATGTAGCTTTATTGTACAAAGCAAAAAAATAAAGCAAAAAATGGTAATTATTTTAATATAATTTGAATAGAAAATTACATTTCTTCCAATAAAATAGTGGTAACGAATGGTAACGAGAAATCAAGTTATTATTTAACCATTATTTACGGTGACTCTCGTTAATAAATACTGAAACTGTTATAATATTATAAAAAGAAGTTGCACAATAATAAACCTGGATTTATTTGACAGCTTGAAGCTTCTACTTTCGACGAAATATCTTTACTTTATTCTCTAAAATACTGCGTAGCGGCTGGCAAAATGAAGATGTGTACTTCTTTCCTCGAAAATTTTATAAATTATAATTAACGTGTAAAAAAAATTTTATAAATTTTTATAAACACGTATTATACATAGTACGTAGAAACATTGAAAAAAATTTGTTCACGACTGAGTTTACAGTAAATTCAAAGATTAAAGCTTAATGTACAATACTTTTCTCGTCTTATTGAATTTTGAATGTAGACTTGCACGAAAATTTGGAAAATTAAAAAGTTTCCCTCGTTGTATTCGTTTTCGCCTGATATTCAAAAGGTTTGTAGGTTTCGAGGACTCGTTAGAAAGGGAAGGCTTTGATCTTCAATCTTCGAATGATGACTGTGACAATTTATGGCATTTTCGAGAAGAGAAATATTTGCTGCACAGAGTAAAAACATCATGGGATAAAATAAACGATGCATTTCAAAAAAAATAGTGGCTTCAAGCTTTAAAATGAGTCAAAGTTTATTATTATTGGATTTTCCAACGAAATTGTAACAATTTAAATATTTAGTGTCCGAATATTAACAAGAGTTACTTACTATTCTATGAAAATAGAAACATAATTTACATATATGGATTAATGAAATGAAACAAACATAATTAGTGCCGTTTCTAAATTTCCAACTTAACTTCGACTCGCGTGTGTAATATAAAGTATCGCCAATTTAACTCGTTTTAATATTTTTTCACGTGTTTCTCAAAGATTCGCCACAGACGATGGAGAAAAAAAAAAAAAAAAAAAATGGCAGATCGATATCGCTTTGTCTGTTTGTTCCTTTGGACTTTTCGACTGACATATTGTTCGTTCGAATTTCTATCGGTGATGATCAGCGAAACGTGATATTCCTGTTACATGCAGAACGTCGCGGATCGTTTAAACGCGTTTGTCAAACTGCGCGAGTGGTTTCTGCGACGATCGAAACAAGCGAGCGGAAATTTCCATGGCAAGTTTTCTAGTTTGGCTTACTTCTCCCAATTTCGGCCATTTCGCTACCATTTCTTTAATAGGATATTCGTTTCATCACTAAAACAAGAAATCAATCGGAGGAAAAGAAAATTATACACTCTGTGGCGAAATAGTCAAAATTGGGAAGAGCCGATAAATTAGAAATTTTACCATTTTTGCCATGCTTTTTCCCAAGCATGAATACACTTAGGAAACTCCTTCAGCGATTCTTGGATACTTCGATAAAAATCCAATATTTCTTGCACTCTATTAATTTTGTCTTTTTTGAAGAAATTCACGATAGTCAATTTTCTTTCAATGAAGAAAAAGATGAAGTACGAGTCTCTCAGAACAGATCAATTTCACATTTTATGCAGCTATCGATCTGTATCCTAAAAAGTTCAATAACAGATTAAGACATAATATTTACATTTATCCACCAATTTCTATTTTCAAATTCGCCTCCAAAATAATCAATATACTTTAAAATAATCAATATACGGTAATTTAGCTATCCTTTCTTTGATAAGAATTTTAATTTTATCATTGAAACAAAAAGTCAACCAGAGAACGTTGAGAAAATTATATAGTTGTTTCTTACAAAAAAAAGTCATGTTAAAAAAAATTACAAGTCAGCGAAATAAATTAGAAATTTATCATTTTTACTAATGTTTTCCACTCCTACTCCGGCGAGTCTGGATTTTGCGTCACGATTCGACTGCGGATTTTTATGCGTTTATCGGAAATTTCGAAATGCAAAAATAAATTACTAATATTGCACAAAAACATATAAAACATCAAAAGTGGAGTATTTGGTATAATACTTAAATTTCTATTCCAATTTCTTTAACTGCGATTGGGAAAATTTAAAATTGCGCAAAGAGGTGCATAATGATGCCTGTTTGAAATTTTTTTGTCCAAAATTCAATTCAACATTATACTCACTTGGCCATGCTCCTTGCAATTTTCTTCTATTCCCACGATTGAAAATATACAGTGACTCCCATTAATATTCGGACGCTAAATATTGAAATTCTTGTAACTTTGTAAAAAAAAAAAAAAGAAAATTTTAATTATAAACTCGACAACTATAATACTAAAATCTTCTTTTCTTTATCGTTTTCTCGTCAAAGTTTCGTTTTCTGTATTGAATTAAACATGGACATTTTGTTATATACACAGAGTGTCGAAAAAGGTTGGGGCCAAACTTAGACAACGTGTTACTGAGGTCAAATAGAACCAGAACAGAGAAAAGGTTCGTATAAACTTATGTCGGAAAATGTTTTATTGAAAAGATATAAGCGTTCAAAGATTTAAGAAAATTCGTTTTACAATTCGTTGTACAGGATCGCATATGTATTACAAATTCTCAATAAGATTATTGCAAAATAATCTTCACGATATGTTGCATGATGTCTCGTTGGAAACACGCTGTCAAATGTGGTTTCAACATGATGGCGCCCCGCCACATTTTGGACGGAATGTACGTGAATTTCTTAATAGACAATTCCCTCAACGTTGGATCGGTCGCGACCGACCAATCAGTTTGCCTCCTAGATCACCTGATACTTTGGGAATGTATTCAAAATGCATTTACTGTTATTTCCAATACAAGTATGGAATATTTGAAAGAGTTCGACAATCACAAATTCGACGAATGGAAGCCTGCATTCTTGCTGAAGGAGGAACTTTCGAACGTTTCTTGTAACTGTCACAATAAATCACAAATATCTTTAAAAGCTTATATCTTTTCAATAAACCATTTTCGAACATAATTTGACATTATGAATTCTTCTCATCTGACCTGAATAACACGTAGTCTAACTTTGGTCCCAACCTTTTTGGACACCCTGTATATTTCAATAGAAACAATCGATACGAAGACATAGATTTAAATTCATTTTATCACTTCACTGAGGCGATGAAACAAAATTCGCTTAATAAAATTCAGCATCGTCGCGGAAGCGTGTTCCCTGAATGATTTCAAGCATGAAAAAAAAAAAAAAAAAAAAAAAAAAAATGGCTAAAATACAGAAGCAATGAGAATTGAAGTGAGACGATGAAACTGACAAGATAGATTAATAAACATAGAGATTGCGTTTCACTTGACTCGTCTCGAAACTTGCAATTAATAAAATAAAAAAGGACCGCGACTGTTATAACCCAGAATGAAAAAAGATTATAGAAAAGACTAAAATGTTTTTCATTGCAAACAACGACTATGAGTTCTAAGGAAATGTTTTTTCGCAGCTGACAATGATATTGAATTTCTTTGGATCGAAACGTGATCTCTGGTAACCTAGAATTTTTTTTCCTTTGGTCAAGGAGTCGTGCTGACCGCGAAGCTGGATGTCAACGTGCTGTTACTCGAGCTTTTTTTTACTTTGTACGGGTCCTGCAGCGTCGAGTTCCCCTGGCTGATTCCGTACCGTTTCTTCGAACCGCCGTGGCCAAGCCGCTTTCTCAGCGCTTCGTGAACTCGTCGCTTCACCACGAATAAAACGAATATGGAAACACCTTGAAGACTGTTAATCACGTCCGGCACGTAGAAAAATTCCTCCTTGTATTGGAGCGTGGTGTACTTGTTCAGTAGCGAGGAGATGATCTCTCCGATCCAGGATATACCCATGACGGTAAACAGCTTCACGTTCATGATGAATCTGAATTGACAACAATGCACAAGCGTTGTGAAAGTAAAGTCACTGTTGGACTGCGGATTTTTATGCAAATTCAGATTTTTAGGAATACTGTTTTATCTACAGTATTAAAAGTAGGTAACTGTTTTATCTACGGTATTATAAAAAGCACTGCACTTTCAATATTTTTTATATGTTTCTTTGAATTGTAATTATATATTCATTGAACATATTTTATATATTAAATATAAATATAAATATGTTTTATATATTAAACATAAATAAATAAATAAATGTAAATATAAATAAATAAATAAAAATAAATAAAAATATAAATAAATAAAAATAAATATAAATAAATAAATAAAAATAAAAATAAATATATAGAAATGTAAATATAAATAAATAAATAAAAATAAAAATAAATATATAGAAATGTAAATATAAATAAATAAATAAAAATAAAAGTAAATATATAGAAATGTAAATATAAATAAATAAATAAAAATAAAAATAAATATATAGAAATGTAAATATAAATAAATAAAAATAAATATAAATATAAATGTAAATATAAATATAAATGTAAACATAAATAAATAAATATAAATAAAATAAAAATAAATATAAATATATTTTATGTATTAAATATAAAATATTTTCTTTGAATATATTCGGTATATTTCTTTGTATTTTTCTTGCATATTTCTAAACATTGAATTATGTGCAATTTCACATTTCAGAATTTGAATAAAAGTTCGCAGTCCAGTTGTCATTAATCTTTGTAAAATTCTATGAATTTGCAGCAAATAACCACATTATGTCGAATTGTGTATATTCAACATGTTTGCTTTCGCGTGTTGTTTTTTTATGATTATTTGATATCTTTGGAAAGCTTATTATAGTCTGCATTTAGTAAAGGTCACAAAAAACTTTAACGAATTTTGAATTTCACTTTTTCCAAAATGAGCTTTTTTCAATATATTCACTACTTTGTAAATTCATATTCTTCTCTCGTATGTAGAATTCAAATTCTATATTTCACCCACAGAGTCTCGCCTTTTCAGAAATTTGGAAATATTCTTGCGTTAGAAAGTTCATCATTTCTAAAAAAAAACCTCTAAAAAGATTTTTCAAAAATTAGAATGCCGAGTATATAAATGGTTATTACACTGTTTATGCACTAATACACAAAACGTTGGATTTTCTAACTTTAATTTGTTTTATATTTTTAATTTACTTTGTATGTATTATATTTCTTATTCGAATTATCGAATATGTATCATACGTTTTGTCGTGCTTTTCATAATTATTAGAAAGAGTTTAGAAATATGAGACAATAAAGAAAAAAATGTTTCATTTATGTGGTGGGCAAAATTTTCCCACAAACTATAATAAAACAACAAACAAAAATAATGAGAATGTTGCGAAACGAAATGAAAGTTAGAACATAAACGTGATGTACCTACTTTGTGCTAAAAAGACTTAAAGAATATAACATTTTCAAATATTTACCATTAGAAAAGTGTTTTACCGTCTGAAAATTAATTGAATACTTTTGTTTCACTCGTTATTTTGAATATGGAAGGCTTTATTGTATTTACTTGATATTGTATCAAAGTTGTTAGATTTTATACATCTTTTTACAAAATAAAAATTGACATAAATATCATAGTCACTCATCCAAATTTATTTGGAATTGTTCGTAAAATTGAATGAGCATGAAGAAAGTATCATTCGAGTTTAATTATGAGATGGGTATTTTAAAATTTTTTTTTTTGTTTCGTTATTTAAAAATCACATCAACCACTTTGCGGGTTATTAGCGACTCAGGTAATCATAATCTCTTGTATACTCTTGTTTTAGATATTGTGGGAAGGTTCTTGATTGTGTTGTTGTCTATTAGGTTGTCATTCAGGGTAGATTTTATGTTGCATTCTAGGCGTTTTTCAGTGTATTTTCTGCACTCCAAAATAATGTGGTCCATCGTTAACAGCACTTTGCATAGTTCGCAGATTGGAGGTTTTTCCTTGTGGAAGAGATGTTGGTGGGTGAGATTTATGTGTCCTATTATGATTCTTGAGATTATGACTAGGTCGTGCTTTGGTAGATTGCAGGCGATGCTCTTCTTGAAGAAGTCGTTCTTAACTATTTTTTGACGTGGTTTTAATGTGGATTTCCAGTTTTTATTTCAGTTGTCATTTATTTTCTTTTTGAGCAGGTGGAGTGTGGTTGTTTTCTGGTAGGCTATTGCTGTATTGGTTGGAGTTAGGTGAATTGGCAGCTTCTTTGGCCAATTTGTCGGCTCTTTCATTTCCAACATTGCCAATATGGGCGGGGGCCCAGATTACAGTGACTGTGTTGTTTCTATTTGTCGATTTGATGTAAAGCTCTTGGCATTCTTGGATGACTGGGTCATTTGTCCACAGATTCTGGATTGATGAAATGGCGTTTATAGAGTCGCAGAAAATAGTGAAGTTCTTGTTTTGATTTATGTACGTAAGCTCGGTAGCGTGTTTAACCGCGTTGAGTTCACGGTGAAGGATGGGAGTTTTTGGGTGGAGTTTAGTTAAGTTGTTTAGTCTATTACTGCATATACGGATCCGTTTGGGTTAGGTTTGGGTCCATCTGTATATATATGTATGTGGTTTGGGAAAGTTTCTTCTAACTCTTGAACCAGTGATTTTAACATGAACGGGTTACTTTTTCTTTGGCTATAGTTGAGTAATAAGGTATTGGTTTCAATTGTTGGGATGGTCCATGGGGGTATGTTGTGAATAGATCTTTTCATTGTAGGGTGAATTTCCATCTGCAAGTCGTTTAGATAGTTCTTAATCCTGCAGTAGAATGGAGGGGGTGTTCTTTTTTTTTTGTGTGAGGTTGAGGTTGTTCTGTTTAAACGTGTTTTGACATACGGGGTTAGTGGAGTGGAGACAACTTTGACTGCAAATTTAATGCTTAGATACTTTCTTCGAATCTGTAACGGTGGTTCTGAAATTTCACTTAGAATGCCGTTAATTGGGCTGGTACGGAAGATACCGACTGTTATTCTGAGTGCACTATTGTGTATGATTTCCAGCTTTTTTTTAATATGTTGGGATTGGCGGAATTATAGACGATCGATCCGTAGTCTAACTTAGATCGTACTATTGCTTTATATGTTCATAGTAATACGTTTATATCTGCTCCCTTTGTTATTTCCAGCTATTGTTTTAAGGATCTTAAATAGTTGGTTGCTGTCAATTTTGAGTTTTTCGATGTGAAGTTTCCAAGTTAGTTGCGAGTCAAAAGTGATTCCTAGTAGTTTAATGGAAGTAGTTTCTTTTAATGGTTGGTTGTTGAGTGTTAGGTTTATATTTGTGAGTGGTTGTTTTCTGCTAAAAATTATTGTTTCTAATTTGGTACTAGAAAATTTGAAGCCTCATGTCTGTGTCCATTTTTGTAGTTTCTCCAGAGTTTCTTAGAGTAAGATTTGAATGGTATGTGGATTTTTACCTTTGCATATAATCGTCGGCGAATAGTAGTCCCATGACTGGATTTGTTATGCAGTTTAATACGTCGTTTATTCAGGAATAGAGATACACTTAAGACGGAGCCTTGTGGTACGCCATTTTCTAGGATTTTTGGAGGAGAAAGAGTGTTGTTGGCTCTGACATCGATGACTCTGATGGATAGGAAGTTGCTGATAAAATTGAGGATATTTCCTTTGAGGCCATAGTTTTGAAGGATTTTTAGGATTCTGCTTCTCCAGATCATGTCGTAGGCCTTCTTAATATCTAGACATACTGCTATCACGTGTTGTTTATTGGCAAAGGCTTCACATATGTTACTTTCCAGGTTTATTAGGTGGTCGTATGTGGAATGGGATTGTCGAAAGCCACTTTGGAACTTGGAAATCAGTTGTTTGCTTTTAAGGAACCATCGGTCTGTAATTTATAATTTTCTCCATTAATTTGCACATAGTGTTTGTCAATGCTATCGGTCGGTAGCTGTTTGGGTTCGTTGGGATTTTTCCTGGTTTAAGAATAGGAACAATTATTGCTTTTTGCCATCTGGTTGGAAAAATATTTTGGGTCCATATACCATTAAATATTGATAACATGTAATTGAGTACTTCTTGTGGCAGGTTAATTAGGAGTATGTTCGGTATTCCGACAGGTCCTGGGCTGGTATTCGAGCACTTATTTAAAAAGTGTTGAAGTTCATTGAGTTGAAGAGGCATATTTAAAGTGGATGTGGTAGGTCGTGGTCTGTTGTTAGGGATGTCGTCTGATTAGTTTCCATTTCCCTTTTGTAGATCTGGAATACTTTGGTATAATTGTCATTATTATTTGTTTGGAATGTTATTGCTTTGGAGATTTCATTCGTATCTGTGGTGAGTGAGTTATCTTTTTTGACCAAGGCAGGTACCGCGTTTTACCCTTTTATTGTTTCTATCTTTTTCCAGATTGATGAGAGTGGTGTAGCTGAGTTCAAAGATGAGACATAGTTTATCCATGTCTGTTTTTTGCTGTTTTTTAGTGTTTGCGGGCTATTGCTTTGAGTTTTTTAAAGTTGACGAGGTTTTCTGTAGTTTTATGTTTTTTTATACCTGTTGAAGGCGTGTTTTACTGTCTTTTATAGCTTGTGAGCATTGTCCGTTCCACCATAGAGTGAATTTGGATTCGGGATTATTAGTTTTTTTTATTCTCGGTATAGCTATGTTGGCTACTTCTATTATAGCTTCTGTTAGTCGTTTCACAGCTATGTTTATGGTATTAGAATTGATAGGATTTAGTACAAATTGGGGGGTTTGTTAGCGACTCTCGATACAATTCCCAGTTGGCTTCTTGAAATTTCCATTTTAGCGGCTTGTAGGATTCGCTGCTTCGGTTCAGACTATATGTTACCTTTATTGGGAAGTGGTCACTGTCACATAAATCATCGACTGTGTTCCATGTGATATTTTGGATTATAGGTGGGCTACAGAGAGTTAGATCTATCGCACTGAACCGGTGGAATGTCGAGCAAAAATGGGTAGATGCGGTTGTATTTAGTAGCACGAGATCGGTTGAGTTAATTATTTTTTCTATGATAGCTCCTCGTCTATCGATTTTGTACGACCCCCGGAGAGTATTGTGGCTATTTAGGTCTCCGAGAATGATAAACGGTTTTGGTATTTGGTTCGTTAGCTGAGTTAATTCGGATTTGTTTAGTTGTTGGCTGTTTAAGATGTATAGGTTGCATATATATAGATTTGTAGGGCATGTAATTTTGGTGACGATAACTTCGAAATTGGATGAGAACGTTACTTCTTCGCTATATATATGGTGTTTCTGTTAAGAATCGCTACATCTTCGCTTGCGTGTGTGGAATTGCGGTTTTTGTTGAAATAGTTTTGTAGTTTTTAATCTGTCCAGTATTCTGGTGTTTGAAGTTCATTTCCTGTAGACAGATTATTTGAGGCTGGAAATTGTCAATTAAAAATTGTAGGTGTTCAAGTCAACTGTAGAAGCCATTAGGGTTCCATTGAATTATTTGGAGTGATGATTTTTATATGTGCATTGTACTTAGTCCTCATACGTGCTTATAGTCTTTATACGTTATAGTTTAAGGGTAATGATTTTGTAGAGGATTAGGTTGTTATAGGGGATATATTTATTGAAGTGTCAGTTTTTAGTTTTTTTATAAGGCGATGCTGTCGATTTTTTTATACTCGGGTCTTGTAGGGAGGAATGTGTTGACTTAAGCATATGGATTATGGCTTTTGTGTCGAAAGTGTAGCTTTTGGTGATTGTCGATTGGGTTGCCAATGGCGTTTTCCAGAAAACTTTTGAGTTGTATGTAGTTGAGCACAAAGTTGTTAGTGGGATCTTCTAGGATTTGTTTGATTGGCTTGAGTAGATCATCCACTTGCTCTGTGATTCTGATTAGCGATTGGCTATGTTTGGGTTTCTTTTTTATGTTGATGGTTGTGGGATTTCTTTTCGGATTTGAGTCATTGTTATTTATCATCTTTCTTGAATTTCGTTCATCATCTGACTGGCTTTCAGTTGAAGTTGATAATGATGTTTTGTAAGTGGCGGGGGATCTAAATATTTTTGTGTTCTGTAGAGGGTCGTTGAGTGTGTTGTTGGTATTGATTGTAGATAGGTCAGTAGTGGTGGTGTTGAAATTTTTGTTTCTTTCTTAGTTTTCTGTTTCGGTTTGGTTTTTGTGTGGAATGCTTGTGGTTTCTTGTGTGTTACTGGAGGATAATGTTTGCTCCATTTCTCTTGGTATATCGCTGCTGTTGGTTTCCCTATTATTTGTTAAGTTATTTGTTAAGGACATTGTTGGTTGGATGTGTAAGATACATTGTTTTGCAATATGTCCCTCTTGTTTGCATAAAAAACAACTGACTTTGTCGATGGAAACGAATATTCGGTACTGTGTGTCGTCATATGTTATTAGGAACGATTCAGAGATTTTTTGAGCATCGTCTGGATCTACGAAAATTTGCCTTACAAAATTCATCATGTGCTTTATTGTGCTAAGAAGGACTCCTGTAGTCCAGCTCGGAGAAAACTGAGTTTGAATGTTGCTTTTATGTTTTTATCCATTAGAAATTTTTCAATGAATTCGTGGGGTATAGTAGGAGAAACGTTAGATAAAATAATTTGTTGTGATGGATTTAACAAGGGTCTGACTGTGGTGTTCGTTGAGTGTTTTGTAGTTGTTGGTAAATTGTTTTGTTGTAGTTTTACTGTCGAAATAGATACAAATTCTGTCGTTAGATATACGGGATGCAAAGCGGATGGCGTTGGGTTAGTCCAGTGGTTTTTGCTACGGCCATTATATAATCACGGTTGTGCCGTCTATGGGATCAATTATAATTGTTTGTTCTTTACTGGGGAATAAACTATTGGTTACGATTAATGCGTAAAATTTTTCAGGCTGTATGTTTGAAGATTTCGGTTGGTTTCGAATCGGTGTAATTTTTGTTTCCATGGTTGGACTTCTGTGGTCGAGGTACTCGTCGGTGTCACACATACTATGTATCATTCTATTGTCAAGGCGATATATTATCACGCTCACATATAACAAAGGTCACCTAGCAATCAAAACAATTGAATTGGCACTCGCGAGCGACAAAACACGTCCGATTCGCTAGCCTGTCCGGAAAAGACTATTTAAAATTATCTGAATCTTTTAATATATATATATAAAGATTTTGAAAATATTTTATCTTCAACTAAGGAAATAAGGATGAAGAATAATATTGTAAATATTATTTAAATATTTATTTTTGAATTAATTTGATTAGAAGATCCTTTAATTTTAATGTGTAAAGTTATTAGGCGAATAAAAATTGTAATTAAACTATTTAATACAATAATAACATTATTAGATATTATATTTATTTAATTATAAATATATTTATTTTTTAAATCGACACATGTTGATTACTATGCGAAATTTATATATTTTACCTATGCAAATTAAATATTGTATTAGAATAAAAATCCAATGAAAGTTCATTTTCCATTTCACAGCGCTATCTAGTTATTTATGTCTTTAAAATTTTTCTGCCGATGATATTCACGTTATTTTAATCATTTTAAGATATTTGTAATAAAAATTAGTTACACCGGTGTTAATATTAAGGTTAAGAATAATTAATTATTAGGTCGTTGCAATGACTGAATTCTTTATAAAACTTTTAGTTTATATCTTTCTAAAAAATAATATTAATCAAATTATTATTAACAATATTAATTTATTATATTCAATACATTTTAACTGTTGTAAAAAAATTTTATAACTATTTTATAATTATAAAATTATAAATTTTAAATTTAATTAAAATTATAAATTTTATAATTATTTTATAATTTTATAATTACAATTAAAATCTTTAGTTGATCATCAGCAGGTTATTTCTTTTTATAAATAGTTCTTTGGAATATTGACGTTACGATCAGTTTTTACTGTATTAGGGCAATCTATGAAGTTTTCTAAAGAACGTATTCAAATTCAATATCGATCCATGGATCATTTCGGCGCGTAATTTATTTTTTTGTAATAAAATAATCGAATTATATTATGTTTCGTTTTGCTGCATCCTTTCGGCCATTCTCGACTCATTTGCGTTTCTCAAAAAGTGAAAAATATCCTAAATTCAAACACGGAAATACGGAAAAATTGATATTAATTTTACGTTAAACATCTCTTTAAAATATTATAAATCCTCTTCGTATATAACTGAGCATAAAATTGAAACACAAAAATTCAAAGGTTTAAATTGATCACCAATAAATATTATTTTCAGTCGTTATGTTCCAAATAATTTTGTATAATTGTGAAATTAATAATTTCATAATTGTGAAAATCGGACGTGTTTCATACATATTTCAACAACCTAATAGTACGAAAAAAAAAAGAGAGAAGAATGGTTATGGTTAGATATTACGTACAACTTTCTTTTATAAATATCGACAAGCTTACTTAGTTTTGTCAGCATGAAATCGTTTTCTTCTAGGATCCGAGGACGACACTCTGCTTATCTCGGCTTTCACCTTGTTACACTCCTCCGCCGTGAAAATGAAGAACACTATGTTCATTATCAGCTGGACGCCGACTGGCGCACTGAAGAAAATTATTTCCCCGTGACTTATGTACTCTGTAACATCAATAAGTTACCAACATTTAATTTCACGTTACATTCAACATTCGTGACATTTAATTATCTAGATCAGACTGGCAATCTTATTGATAACAATAATATTGCTAATATTGTACGATTATTTTCAGAGATCGAAATTGACAGGTTCTTTCCGTTTTTTAAAAAAATTTTGTTCGATTTTATATGTACGTCGTATGAGAAAATATCTGTTTTTATAGAAAGTGTCGCATTTGGAACATTTTTGAATAGTGTTCTCATGAAATAGATATTTTAGAATCTGCGTAATAAAAGTTTGCTGAATTAGAAATCCATTTTCATACTATTCAGTGTCGGTATTTGCTACAAAAACTTTTTAATATTGACGAACAAATTATCCGTTTCTGTCTGGACAGAAAAATTTTCATTTTTCTATTCCGTCTGAAACGTTCATTTTTTATTAAAACATTTATTTATTTGCTCTCATCTTTCAATGTCCATGTCCAAAATTTCAAATAGGATTTATTCAAAAATTTCTGAATTTTTTCAATTCCTGATTACTTTACAAAATTACCACAAACACGATCTTTATAATCAAGTATGTCTTCTTATTTCAACTATCAAGTAGAAAGAGAAATTATCTGATTTTTACTGATTATAATTCTAGAGATTTTTCTGGTAGACAACACACTATGGTGGCGCGCATATTTCTTAACTACTTGTGATGGCAACTGATTGCGGACCATAACGAGTGACCAAACCGTATACAATAATTTGTCGCTTTCTTTTTGAACTCGTCGGTATGATATCATTGGATAGAAACTATTGAAAAGTAATAAATTTATTATTTGTTTTGCTTGGGTTATAATTAAATATACTTAAAACTGAGAAATAATTGCAATTTTGGGACAAAAAATTCTCGACGTGCGTGACATGTCATTGTAGCGCAAGAGGTTAAAAGCGAGTTTAGCGGCGACGCTGATTTAAAATAGAAGAAAGAAGAAAATAAAATAGCAGAAAATATATTGTACTCTCGGTTAATAATAATTTGTTAATAATCAACCAAAGCGATCGTCATGAAATCTTGTTATACATTAATGAAAATAAATGGTTATTGTTATAGTTTCTTATTAAATCTTGTAGTATATTTATTACCTTTATAAACCTTATATTAAATTATATTATAAACTTTGACATAAACCTAACCGAAACCAACACCTAACGTGCCATGAGAAATGGATCCTGTATTCTAATCGCAAAAGATTCGGTCATTGACCGTCTTCAAATCTTTGCCATAAATATCGAACAGCTGTATATAAATTGCTCTTGCATTAATTCAAAGCTCTTGAATTGTACATCAGACTATGAGATGATAAAAGTTTCAAAGCTACTGATTGTTAAGCTTACCCTACCGGCTAAAAATTTGGAATCACGCAGATTTCTATCAAAATATTCTTATACATTCTGCACTGATGCACTTCTAGTATATTAGGTATTAACAAGAATGTACAAATTTTAAGATATTTAATTGTATTGTTGCATTGAGAATACTCTTGTATAGATTATAATCCCAATTTAAAGTAACGTTAAACGTTATTTCCCTACCACGTAAAATAACTATCTGTTTCCGCGTTATATAGGGCTGTCTGATTCTTTTGTTTATCCAATGAGAGTTTAGTACTACAGTATTAGACTTGGCTTAATTGACGCTGACACTGAGAAAATTGATAAAAGCCACATTTGCCACACATTGTTATCATTCTCGTTCACGAAGGCATTCAACTGAGATCACCAGTTAAAATTGTGCTCCAATATTTGAAAATGGCAAAAAACGATACAGATTAGTGTTGAAACTAGAAGTGCTATTATTACACTTAGAAAAGAAGATTATTCTTTGCGGAACATTGCATGCAAATTGAAGATATACAAGGGAGTTTAGAGTACGGTAAAACGTTTTCAGAGCTCTGGCTGTTTAAAAGCCAAACCACAATCAGGAAGACTCAGGATAACGTCGAAGGCTGAAGATATATACTAGAATATAGATTACACGCAAACTTAACAGACGGCTAACGGCGTCACAAATTCGTGCAGATCTTAATCATAGATCGACTCCAATATCTCTGACCATAGTGAAAACATGACTAAGAGCTGGTGATTTAAACGGTTGCATAGCTGTCAAGAAATCATTGCTTTCATTTAAAAAAATCGCAAAATGAGGTTGAATTGGGCAAAATGTCACAAAAATTGGACATTTGAGAGTCCTTTGGACTGACGAATCCAAGTTTGAAGTATTTGGGTCGCACCGAAGAACATTTGTTCTTCGATCCGTAAGACAAAAAATGTCGGCAGAATTTATTGTACCGGCTGTCAAACATGGTGGAGGCTCATTTATGGCGTGGAGATGTTTCTCGACCGTTGGAATAGGAGAATTGATAAAAGTAGAGAATACAATGAGAAAGGAGGACTCTAAACAGATATTTGAGCAACATGCCATACCACCAGATTGCCATTTAATAGGTCGAAATTTTATTATGCAGCAGGATAAGGACCCTAAGCACTCATTACACTTGTGTTCTTGTTGCTAAAAGAAACACAGGAGGTTTTATAGAACATGAGATGTCACAGTTGCCAGATTTGAATCCAATTGAGCTTTTATGGGAAGAGATCAATAGGAATATCCGATTCCACTGTCTAACATCGAAGGAATACCTTTGGCAAATACTACAAGAAGCGTAGAAGAATATAAAATTAGAAACAATTAAAAAACTCATTACCAGGATGCCCAGAATATGCCAGGCAGCCATTAGAAGCAGTTTTTTCAATGAAAAGACGAAAAATATCTGTTTCTTTATGAAAGGAACGAAAGAAAATGTAAAAATTATTGTCTACTAGACGCTTTGATAAATAAAACATCCTCAGTTCTTATAAAAATGTGTAATTTCCTTTAATAATACATTCGTAGTGATTCCAAACTTTTGGCCGGTAGTGTATGTTCTTCTTAACGTGCAGTTGATTAGTGACAATTTGATTTTTCAAGACCGAAATAATTCGGATGATCGACGTTTTAATTGTGAATTTCCTAGAAATTTCTACATCCTAGATTTGTGTGAATTTCTCTCTTTTCTTGTATAATTAGCGCGTCTACTCGTCAGAATTTAAGTAAATAGAAATATATATTTTATTCATTGTCTTTCCCGACATTATTCAGGAAAAGTTAATAACAACAAAATCGCGATTTGCTTAGTAAGACATTCACAAGACGAGGGGGCGGCTGATCAATAAGCACGGTCCTTGCGTGCTACACGCTAAAACAGTTTGAAAATCACTGATATTGTTGGATACCAACTTATAATCTATAACCGCTTGTGTAATCTTTTCCAAACGGTAAATCATCTCCAACATCGACAACAAATAGCTCGTGCCTCAATCTTAAATCTCTGCCCTCCTCTCCTCAGTTTCTTCTAAAATTGAACACGTGTACAGAATGTCCCGAAAATATACAGGGTGTTTCGTAACTTGTGGGACCTACTTCGGGAGCTGATTGTACGCCTAAAAATAATGGAAAAAAGTCATGTAAATATATGTCCTATCTGTTTTCGTTTATGAGATATAATGAATTTTCTGTTTTAATTACTTTTACAAAAGATGCTCGAAATGACCATCTTGCATTTGAAGACAAGCCTGCACGCCTCTTGTCATTCATCTGGTTACTCTCTCTATCATTCCTGGTGTTTCTCGAATTTGTCGGAAGTCTTGCTCTATTCTATTTCGTAGTATTTCAGCATGTTCAATCGATGTTGCGTACAATATATTTTAAATGTCCCCACAAATGAAAATCTAATGGATTTGGAGGCAATAGGACCTCCACGACCAATCCATTTATTTGCAAAGTGTTGATTTAAAAATTGCCTAGCCACTCGGTTGAAATGCGGCGGAGTTCCATCATGCATAAACCGCATACGAATAATCTAATATCGACTGAAACTTCCTTTAATATTTCGTGTAAACGCGTGCTCAAAAAATCAACGTACTTTGTGCCTATTAGTTTCCCATCAAGAGAAAAAGATCCAATTAAAAATTTATCAATTATTCTTGCCCATACGTTTAAACTGGTGTTGATGTCTTGAATGCACAATAACATGTGGGTTTTCTTCATCCCAATTATGATTATTATGAAAATTGAACATACAATCCCTGGTAAAACTAGCTTACTAGAGTTTGCTCTGTTTATAAAATTCATTATATCTCATAAACGAAGACAGATAGGACATATATTTATATGACTTTTTTTCATTATTTTTAGGCGTACAATCAGATCCCGAAGTGGGTCCCACAAGTTACGAAACACCCTGTACATCAAGTAAAGAAAAATTCATATAAACTTACGTCTAAAAATGCTTTTGTTGGAGAATTACAAATAAAGTGTATTTTTAGAAATTTTTATGCATTTATAAAATGCACTCTAACTGCCTGTCTTATGATTTTCTTTCCAAACTTCTTAAGTAAGCATTAATTATTACAACTGTAGCATCGTATCGAAACATTTTCAAATTAGAGAATTTAAATGTAAAATTAGAATAGCATTATATTGCTTCTTTCGTTTCTTTTCAAATCGAAATCACGAGTGTGATTTGATATTTTAAGACAAGAGGTTAGAAATTGCACGGAATATAAAAAGATATATACAAAATATATCCAAAGTATAGTGCCTTTTGTAATATCTGGTATGTAAAACAATTCTCTGCTTGGATTTCAGTTTTTAAATCATTCTTTCAAAAATATGAAATTGCATAAAAATCCACAGTTGTAAGCATTCAAACATTTTTATTTCATATATTTAATATTATATGATATTATGTATATTATATGTACTATATTATATAAATTTTATATTAAATATAAATAAAATATATGTATAGTATTTTTTAATATATAAATATTGTCGTCATCACTTTCATATAATACATTCTTTTGTCATTTTCGACATGAAAATATTAATATTTCTGCGTACTGTTTCGCCACCGATAGCAAGCTTATTAATTATAGAGTGATCACTGAAAAACTGAAGGGTTTGAAAAATTCATGGAAAAAAAATTTAATCCATGAAAATTTACACATAATACTGAAAAAAATCCAATTATATTTCCAAATAAAATGAGAAAAAAAATATTTAAGAAAACATGTGTTTGTAAGTTATTTTTGTTTTATATCATTCGGTGGCCACTCTATATAAAACTTTGAAATGAACAAGTGTATGCAACTGCATGCTCAAATTTGAAAAATATAGATTAACTCGTCATGTATCCAATTACTCAATTCCATCACTGAAGTCCAACAATATTAATAATATTTGTTTCTCCGTCATAACGAATATCCTTTTTCTCTCTCTCTCTTTTTTAATACTGTTATTTCCTCGCAGCTCGCTGTCAGAACTAGCTGAGACCTTGCATACACAAAGCGTGCGTCGAGCCTGCCGCACGCTTGTCAAACGCGGATGCAATATTTGAAGATTACTTCTCCTTTCTCTGAAAAAGCAGAAGCATCGCTGTCTGTTGTATAGACACGTCTAGATATACAGGATATGGTCCATACGATTATTTCAGGTTATAGCTCGGTTACAAAAAAAAAAAAATGTAACAATCGAGAAAGATGAATGGTTCGAATTTGTAACTCTACATTTTTTTTTTTTTTTTTTAATCGATAACTGCATTACTTTTGTAAATGAAGATGCATACTTCTTTTTCTGGACGTCGTTCTACATAACGGCAAAAGAATTGTCAATTATCGAATTAAGTTTGACAAAATATCTTTATCGAAGAAGATACTGCGTAAAAATGTATCGAGAATGACATCGCCGACAACAAGAATTTGGACAAACACGGTGCCATTAGAAAACCCAAGAGAGAAGAACTAAAATAACATAGTGATCGTACTCACTTGCAGGAGAGTAGGATAGAAATTACGTGTTGTCTGAAATACTTACAGTGTAACGGAGAAACGTTCGAGCATCTTCGATAAAGACATTTTTCTCAAAGCATTTCGACAACTAATAATCTCTTTTTTTTTTTTAACCAAAAAAAAAGCGCTGGCAGCTGACTGCGGACCATAACGAGTGACCGAACCGTATACAATAATTCGCTTTCTTTTTGAACTCGTCGGTATGATATCATTGGATAGAAATTATTGAGAAGTAATAAATTTATTATTTGTTCTATCTGGGTTATACTTAAATATACTTAAAACTGAGGAAATATTGCAATTTTAAAACAAAAGATTCTCGACGTGCGTGGAACGTCATTCCAGCGCAAGCAGTTAATAATGTTTTAAAAAATAGTTTGCATTTTCATTTTAAAAAAATTAAGAAAAGAAAATTAAAAAAAAAATAGTCTTACGAATGTCATACTCTTTGAACTGTTTGATACTCTTTCTCTTTCGATAGTTTTCTATAACTGGTAACGGAGTTACACATAGCCAGAGACAATTTCATGGACCACCCTGTATTCCACTCCGCAGTGCAGTGACGCAAGTCCAACTTGTTGCTGTGTTTGATGTGAACGGTTGAAAGTTTCTTTTTTCACCGTGTTGATTCAATTCAAACCTCAATCTCACTCGTGAGTATATTAGCTAATCCTAAAATGAGAATTCCGTGGATTCTTTCGTGGAAGTCAAAACAATCATTTTCTACGCAGTCTTTTGAGAAAGAATATTCAAATTAAGACACTGGAAATGACTGCTCCTGAATGGACTTCATTTTAGGTAAAAAGAATTTATCAATTTCAATCAACAGAATTCGAAAGGTAAATTTCTTCTTGCAATCATTTGTCGAGCAATTTAAAAAAGGAAACTAAATTTAAAAATACCACACTTTGGTCTTTGAACCGAAAGAATTTCGACGATACATCATTTTGTCATGAAACATGGGAATTGATCAATTTCGAAAATTGTTCGAAAGATCGTCTGGTAACATTGAATATAAAAATTTATTGTTTGAGATCACTATGTATTTTAAGAAAACAATTTTCACTTTTTGGAAATGATTTTATTTACGAAACTTTTTATATAATATTCAAATACTATGATTCACTTAAATGAGGCTACCTAAATATCTTTTCGAATTGTGATGATGCAAAAAATATTTTTTGCCTAACACGAATAGTATCCACAAACGGCTAACAACTGGTAAAAATATTTTTTTCAAGAACTGTTCAAGGTGATATTTTTTCGTATGAATATATATATATATATTTTTTTTAAATTGTATCTAATAAATATAAATACGTAAAGAACATGATCTTGAAAATTTAAGTTTTAATTTTTTAAGTTTAAATTTTTTTTCGTAAAAATAAATATATCTATATAAGATAATATATCTTTTCAGATGTATTTTACAATAAAATTAAAAATATATATTTCAACGTGACATTTCTTTCTGTTGTCGATTGTTTCATATATCAATTGTTGAAATATACTAATGTTGACCAATTTTTAATTATTATCAATGACTACTTTGGAATTAAAAATGAAATTTTAGAAACAACCGACAGACATAATTTCATTTAATAATCATCAAAAGCCGTTTTGAAACTTCAATTAAAGTTTTAAAACTTGAAAATTTGCACAAGCAATAGGTATTTTATTTCTGTTATAAAATAATTCTGGAAAACCAAGAAAGTAATAAAAATAATGATTAATTAATATTCCAGTTAATTTATTTTAAAGAAAATTAAAAATAACAATATTATAATTTATTCTTGATGAAATGTTATAAATTAATAAAAATTAAAAACTACAAGCTACAGTAATAAAAATACTTTAAAACTTTCAATTTTATTTTACTCCAAATATATTATTTGTCTAAAAATTCGATTTGAGAGAATCATTAAAAACTGCGGAATCCATGGTTCGAAAATATAAAACTTCGGTTATTTAATCGATCGATCAGAAAGGCATGAAAGTTTTATGAAATTCAAGAAGAATCTGCACATTCTCGGTTTAATTACGGCGTGCAATCACGACGGAGAATGTCAATTATTGAACTCGGAATTACTGAACTCGAATTTTCATTGAAATGAACTGACATGACGGAAAAATGTCAGCGCGAGTCACAGTTGTTTGAAAATTTTGCACGATTATATTTACCATTTTGTCTAAAAAAAAGAAAGTCAATCGAGGAAAAGAAATTTTAATTTTGCTTGTAAAACGTGGGTAAAGAACCCTACGACTCTCAAAGAGAGATGGCTCGCTAGTTCGATCTGATATTTGCAAAAATCACTGGATGTAAGTGGATTTACAAATGATTTTTTTTAAACACAGAAAGAGATAGTAAATTTACTACGACTAGAAAGTTAAAAATTGACGTTATTCTTCTACCAAAAATAATATTTATACCTTTGAAGACAACATTTGCAATTGTAGAACGTTACAGAATTGTTTTCAGAAGACAAGAAACGTGTTATTCTCGATTGGTAACTTACTTTCGAACCAACAACGTTTTTCGCCAAAGTGGGGCTCCATGTTCGTTGGCAGAACGTGCACCTTGTCAGCCATAATGCAGAGAAACGTGATAAAGATCGGCAATCCCCATGCGTAAATACAGTAAAACGCAAATCTTTTGTTCTGACTTCTTCCCCGAATGACAGTGCCGCGTACTCTTCTGAAAACAGAAATTTTGAACGCTGTATAGAAGACGTAGGTTTGAAACTTTCACTTTCTGGAGGAAAGAGGAGAGGGATAGTTGATAGATATTTCATTCATTTTTTCTTAAGAGTTACAAAACAAATGCTAAAACGAAATTAAGCTTGGTAATATTCGTGGAGCATGTAATGTTATTTTTAGAATAACAAGAAACTTGAAGATACAAGGATGTACAGAAAGTAAAATATCAAAGAATGTAAATAATTAACAGAGAAATCAACCTTTTTGTCTAATTTTTCTTTTCTACATTTAATTTATAAAAACATAAATTTGCATAAATCTACTCGTAATAATAACTTAAAGTTTTAAATCTACAAGTATATATTTTAGGAAACAAGCTGTGTAACAAAATCTGTGTTTATCAAATGAAGAACAAAAACTAAAAGAATTTCAATCTTCAAACGTAATGCTCGAATTAAAAATAAAATTAAATATTACTAAATAAAACTAAATATTCAAACTATATTAAAACTATATAACTGTTAAAAATTAAACTAAGGCTCAAATTAAAAATAGAACTTTACCTTCGTACAATTTTGTACTGTGTAAAAATAGGTGGGTAAAAATAGTGTAACGTTGAAACTCAACAAATTCTTTGAACCAAAATTGGTACAGTTTTCACGTGCACTTTGTTCGAGCAATTTACGTCAAAATTTTCGTGTCTTTATATCTCCAAAAATAGTGGGAAACATTTAAAAGAAAGTGACTTTACTAGCGTATATAATAAAAAATACGTATATACTATGGATTTTGATTCACTTGCTTTTTATTTATTTCAAAAAGTAGATTTTATGTTTGTAACTGGAATACAGAAATAATTTTTTATTTTTCATACACTTCATTCTTTTTTCTCTTTCCAGACTGAATGATTACCTAAATAATGATCACTTGAATAATTCCATTGTTTTGGAGACGATTTTAGAGACATAGATAAACTTTATTAATAAAAACTCGACATTTTCTATAAAAGAATATTAATTTATGGATGTCAAAACATTGCCTGTTTCAGGGATATTTTAATTCTGCGAAATCTATGCATAAACAGACAGTACAAATAAACAGGGACAGTATGATACAAACACAACAGATTTTACAGAATTAAGAGTAAAATATCTCTGCTAAACTATATTTTTTCGACACATTTAAGTTAAATTCTTTTTTATTTATAGAAAACGTTGAACTACAACGATTAGTAGATGAAAAAGTACATTATTCTATTTAAAAAAAGTAGAGGTGATCTTGAAATTTTTGAAATCACTCCACCTACCAAAAAATTATTACTGTTACATCATGTCTCTTTAGTAACTTTTATCGACAAAGTTTATCCATGTCTCTAAAAACAACAGAGTTACATAGATGATTCCATTCAAGTAGTCCACCCTGTATACAAATTAATAGAAGAAGATGTTTTGAATACTTTTTCCAATCTAGTAAAAAATCGAGTAAAAGAAAGATATAAAGTACATGGAAAATAAAATGTTACTTCTTTCTTCCAATTAAGAAATTTATATTTTGAAATAAAAAACAAGTGAATAAAAACTCGTAGTGTATATGACACTTTTCATTCAGAATGAATCTACCAAACTAGTAAAATTATCCGGTTCCCTCCTGAAAGATATTTATACTAAAATATATAAACTTATTATTTATGAATATATTTAGATACATATAATATGTTTATTATATATACATATAATAAAATATAGATAGATACAGATAACGTTTGAACAATACATTAAAATCTATTTTTACAGTTAAATTTTATACGGATGTTTATCCAATTTTGTATTTTTATAAAGATAATTAATAGAAGCGGAATCCAAACAAAAAGTTATTTTGTTTGTTAAATATTGTACGAAATTATTACGTTTTGAATAATTTTACATGTTACGAGAACTGCATACATTTTTCAAAACCATAAAGAAACCATAAAATCCATAAAAATCCGCCGTCTATTTACGAGTATCGATTAAAATATTAATTAATTTTGAAGAATAAATGTATTATTACACTGTATATAAAGCATCGTTAAATCAAAATCAATTATTAATAATTCCACTTATAACACGTTCAATTTGTTGCTTAATAACGAAAATTTGCCGTGTAATTATAATTAATGATTCATTCTTTACTGCATAATTGTAGAAAAGTGACAATTGTAGATTCTGTGCGTTATATAACGATAGTAATAATTAATACTCGTATGATTTCACGTAAATTTAACGTAAATTAAATTCTGATAAATTGATATCTTAAAACAATTATTATAATGATCCGCAAGAAAAATATCAAAGTAGAAATGAAAAACATAAACTGAAATAAACGCATATAAATTGCACAATATTAAATAAATGGATAAATTGAGATGTTATAAGTAAAAAAATCTTGAAGATTGAAAGTAAAACGGAATTACACCGCACGACGTGTTACATTTTTGTAATTTCCAAATCTAAATTGAAGATCTTTCATAAAAACAGAAAAGTCCAGAAACGTTAGCTGTGGAGACCTTGGGAAGTAAAGTGTTTTATTTTCTTTTTCTATTTTTTCAGAAACATGTATTTTTTTCCGAGCTCGGCAGTCATGATGGATGAGAAATTGTCTAGAAATTAATCCTGTTACAAGATATGCGACCTTCGTATGGTATACATAAATGTTCCCTCGAAACAATGCTGGTTCTATTTGACACATTTCTTGGATTAATTATTTGGAAGATAATGGCAAAGATTCCAATGAGAAATGATCATAATATTTCCATAGAATGATAGACAATTTCAATGTGATACGAATTAACACTTTGGATACCGAAATAACCTGAACAAATTTTCCCATGGAACCGATTTTATTTTTCGCTGCATGACCAATCGAGATGAAAATAAAACAAGAAACTTCAGAAAATTCGCAAAGTATATAGTGCAATATTAGATATTCCTTCAAATTGCGAAAATTGCGATCTGGTTAGTTTTTGCAAAATTGCAAACTTTTCTACAACTATTTACGAAGTTGTTTGACTTCGTATAGACGATCGAAAAATCGCAATGACGCGAAAATCATTGTTTTCCGGCTGATTTAATGGATTGTTCAAATAGCAGAAGATATACTTTTTATCCAAAAGTCAAAAAAAACGTCGCATCAAATTTCATGGGGTCATTGTAAATGAGAGGCTCTTTGGATCTTTAAATCTATGGTGGATTCTGTTGCAAAAAAAATTTTCATTGCTCGCAGAGACATTCGAATTTGTAAAATTTTTGAGAAAAATTATGATAAGTAATAAGTAATAGGTAATAAAATTATAACAATTATAATAATTATAATAATTATATAAGTTATGAAGGTTTCACGTATCCTTATTTTCCCATCTGCTACTTGATGACAGATAATATAAAATATTAATATTAAAAATATTAAAAATATCTTTGAAAAAATTAAACTAACACGATTGTCAAAGTAGAAGCTTCATGCTTTAAAATGAAGCCAATTGGATCGTTTTAAACGATTACGATTTTCTTTTTGCAAAGTTATAATTCGACTGCGGATATTTATGCATTTATAATTTCTATGCATTTGAAATTTGATATTCAAAATTTCGCATAATGGAGACAACATAAGAAAACATATCAAATGTCCAAAATACTCTTCTAATACTATTCTTTTTCACTAATTAATTATTTATTTTATTTATATTAATTTACTTTAATTTATTTTATTTATGTTAGTTTATTTCAATTTATTTTATTTATATTAATTTATTTTAATTTAATTGATCAACTATTTTTTAATGACAATGATACATGTAGAACAATTTTCTATTTAACTTCCACTTCTTCAATTACGTTCATGAAAATTTGAAAACGCATAAACATCCATAGTTGTAACAATTTGAAATATCGACAATTTTTCGTCGAGAGTTTACGAATAATTTTTTGAATGGCTACAACAAATAAATTTTGTTACATATATTTGGCATTCATTTTACACACTTCGATAAATTATGCCTGTATAAAGATTCGCTATCCAATTATAATACATTTATTGAAAATTTCACATATTTTCTAGAAATGTTATAATTTTGTATAATCTTTTAAAAGCATCAACACTCACAATCCAGTTAAACGTGTCCTCAATCTTTTACGAAAATTCGCAGATTTTAAAAGGCTTTTACTATACTTTGGAATCGGGGAAAAAATCTTATCCTATTAAAATACTTCACTATAGCCACCAAGTGACATAAAAATTAGAAAATCTGCAAATATGGGTTTGTCATATTATTTTAATCAAATACAAACAGCAAAAGTGAACTTAAATAATTATCGGCAATTTTTCTATTATACACGCATTAGTCACGACTATTTGACGATTTCTCTGTTAATTAAAATTAACGTCATATTCGAAAATTTATATCGATTCTTTTGTATTTTTTTTTTCAGTATAATTCTTCTTTTCGATTATTACAAACCGATAAGCGTTAAATATTTCTGTATGTTATTTAGCAATTACGTTAAAATTGAATATTTTAATAAATTGTAAATTATACAGTGTTTTTTAAACATTTCCAATGAAAAAGTGTTTCGAACCACACCATAATTATCATAACTAGAATATTTTTAAAAAAAGTTATTTTAATAAACTATTTTAAAAAGTTATTTTAATAAACCATAATTATCATAACAATTACTTTTTGATTAAAGTGTTTTTGATTGGATATAACTATTACAAATTGTCTAAAAAATTTTTCGGCTGCCAATAACCATTTGGCAACAGTTATCGGTGATTATTTGGATTGGAAACTCTCTTTTGGTTGCTCATAACAGTTATCGATGAGTAACGAAATTTATTTCAATTGCTAATAACTAAATCCGGATTTTTCTGCAAATGAATATCTTTTGAATTACAATTTGAAAAACAAAATCATGATGGAAAATTGATATTATAGCACGAATATTATACATATTCTTTTACAGT